CATATCCGACACCTCTCAAAGTTTCCTTTTGTCTCTTTCTTGTTTTTGTTGTTTGTGGTAAGAACACTTAACATGAGATCTATCATCTTAACCAATTTTGAAGTGCTAAAATACTGTATTGTTAACTGTATGTACAAATTTGTACAGCAGATCTCTAGAACTTATTCATCTAGAATACCATAAATACTTACTTTTGAGCTCCTTTCACCAAAGCTATTTCATCTGGTGAAGAGCATACATAGGTCAAGTCAGCTGATTCTGTAACACCATCAATAGCATCATTTGTTTTAATTTCTACAGTATGGCATAAACACAAGGCACGCAGAAAGAGCTCTTCTCGATTCTGTTGAACAGTAACAGAAAAATATTTTCATTTTCATCACTTGGTAACTAGTGAACAGAGAAAAGACATTAATGTGAGAGGAAGTTATTACGTCCAGCAAATTGAGTCAGAAATTTACAAATTCTTAATATTTGAATGAGCTATCTATCCTCCTAGTACCTAATAGCATTCCTGGTTCTCAGCTAACATGCCCTAGGGGCTGTGTTAAGTCATTCACGTTAGTGTAGTGCCACCTAATACCAAAGCAGTGACTTCTTCATGGCCTAAAAGAGTTTATTCAGTATCTAATTCACAATCTGGCAAGAGTTCAGGCACAGGGAGACTCTAGTTCATTTAATGCCTAGACACTCCTGGGACTTGAATGATTTGAATAGACATCATTCTCGGAGCAGCTCCTATTTTTCTTTTTCGGAACGGCTCATATTTTTAAAGCCAAAGCACAAAAAATTATGATCACACAGACAGGGAAGTGTAAGTCTTACCCAAATGCAATTTCCCATAATTCCCTCTACTTAAAAATTCTACTTGTTTACAAATTCCAGAATTGGAAGGAAAACAAGAAAGGTGACGTGGTTATTCAAAAATGTATGTCATAGGCCCAAGTTCCTCATTTCTACAATGCAGCGTTAACGCATGCATACACAGACTGATTTCTCAAGGTAAAATGGTAATGAAGAAAATGCCACCTTGTCTGCTTTATCGAAATATGTTAAAAGTCCATCAGTTTGAGAGAGTCCATCAGTCTCCTGAGTTAAGCCTTTATATTTGTGCCCATCTATGCAACATTCAATGAGTTCCATGCTGTTTTCAGTGAGTGTTCCAGTTTTATCTGTAAATACATAATCCACCTAAAAACGAGGACACAAACAAATACATTTTTAGTTGGGTGTAAGGCAGAGCAATTTTCATATCCGTAGAAAAGTCACTTTTTCTAAGACTTCTTGTCAAATGTCAGGGATAATTACAGAAGCAATATTGTCAAATGAGAAGAAATGAATGAGTATTTTTAAAGACACTGAAACAGGACCACATACCTAAGGTAGACCTACTCAAATACAGAAGATTAATAGGAAGGAAAAATGTGGGTATTTTATCAAACTAAGAACCCTTCAATTTAACACCTACCCATTTTGATGTAAAGAAGTTACATAAGAGAAGGCAATTTTCCATGTGGGAAACAAGAATATACTGACCACTTATTACACACTTACACAAAACATTTGATAGGAACTTAAATTAATTCGGGTATAAAACTTTTTTTTGAAAAGTAAAATTTTATATAAATATACTGGATTGAAGTAAAATGCATTGTGTCCTATAATGTAAGAGTCACAGAAAATACATGGGGTAGGGGAAATAATAATGTTAACAGTTAATTAGTAGACACAGTAAGTCAATAATGATCAAAAACATAATTGAAATTTCTTTTCACATACTATGTATATTTTCAGATACTCCTTATGAGTTTCCAAATTAAAAAAGCAGAGTTTTATAATGATAGGTTACGTGCAATATAAGCATACGTCCATAAATAATTGAAAAAATAAGCTATGAAGTAAATTTTCCATGTAAAATAAGCCATTTTGAGCATTTCCATTTTATCTCAGTTTTTATCTCTTCTATTTATAACATCAGACATTTGGAAACCCACAATTTTATTCTCCTTTTTGGCAACTTATGCTTAAATAGTTAAAATTATGGGCTGACAGGAACAAGCATAAGCACATGATTAAAGTTTTTATTATGTAAGGGAGAAAGAGATGAACTCCAGCAGCAGTTGCTTTCTAATTATTTTTCAAAGCTTTTCACGGTAGCAGCACTGGTACAAATATAGCTTTCCAATCTTCCCTTATTTCCCCTTGTAACCAGCCAAGTTTGAATTCTCTCTTTAAATTAATCCAAGTGGTATTATTCCTTTGTTAGATTTTTCCAGTTAAAAACTAGGTCTTTGAGGCTTTTCTTTCTGATCAAAATTATTAACTTTTATTTTCCCCTGAAGGTTGTCCTGGGTTGTTGCACCTCCTGTACTTGGGTGAGCATTAATTAACCCATTCAGAAATCTTTTATGGGTGTTAAAGGCGGTAGTTTTTCAAATATAAAGTACAATTGTTTGTCTATGTCTAAAGGTTGCGCAGTATGGATCTGTGTACAATTAGTCTCACAGGTACAGACCAACAACCTGTACACTCATACCGTAATTATCAAACTGTACCATGCATCACACTCGTTTGGAGGGCCTGCTAAGACCAATGGACTCTATTTGAAAAGTTTCTAACTTAGTAGCTCTGGGGCAGGGCAGGTTAATGTGAATTTCTAGCAATTTATCTGGTGATGTTGACGCTGCTGGTCCCGGGATTGTACTTGGAGAACCATTGCTCGAATATAAACCCTGTATCAGGAAAGAGGGAGGGGAGGATTGGCTGCTACTAAAACGTATGTATTCTCATGAAGGGAGAGAGAGAGAGAGAGGGCGAAAGAGTGAAAGGTTGTTGCTTGCCTCTCTCCACAGCCTCTTCCTCTTTAGCATAGGTTTGAGCCAGCTAAAAAGGCCCTTCTCTATCAACAGGCTCAAACCCATAGAGTGGGTGGAAAGCCTAAAGAAAGATAGGTGTTTTAAGGTAGAAAGAACCTTGAGCTAAAGGTTGAACACATGAAATCGCCTACTTTACAGGTCAAACTTGGTCAAACATGTTCGTATCACTCAACCTAATGGAACACTTGGAATGAGTCTTGGCTCCAGCACCTACTAACTTTGTGACCTTGGAAAAACCTCTTCATCTCTCTGAACTTTAGATATTAACCTTAAATAACCAAACCTGCTGTACAAGGCTGTAAAGAATACAAAATAAAGCTCAACAATGAATATGCTTGTAAACTGTAAGGTATTACATAGATGTTGATCATCTCGGCTGCTGACTGAAGCAAAATTACCCAGTACTGGACTCTTCCCATCACTCCACATTCCCTAATTCTGATTACGATCACGTTGCTATAGTTAGGTGTGGTACGCATTTCCCCAACTAAATGGTGAACAACTGAAGGGTTTCTTGTTTACTTTCTAACAGTAACCTCAGTACCAAGAACATTTCCTACATACACAGAAGTTCAATATATAACCACTGGACTGAATTGTTGGAATCAGAGTACATACATACTCAGACACACCATGAAGCAGAGCTGTAAGATGGGGAGGGGACAAGAAGAAGGAGGCTATCCCTACAATTTTTTCAAGATGGGTTGAAACCATTTGGTTGTCCAAAAGACTGGTGTCCGACTGTAAAAGACCCCATTCTTTTCCAATGCAACTGAGTGAGCAGTCTGTTTTTCTTTGTTTCTCAAGTCAAACACTGTCCTAAACGTTATCTTCCTATTTTTAAAAATACCAATGTAGGTCACTGTTAAAGAGGTTAAGCAAGTGTTTGCAATGATGTTGATGAGAACTAATTGACACTGCTTTCAGTAACATAAAAAGCCCTATATTATCTCATCAAAGAGGAAATTAGTTATACTTCATTTTGTGTGTACCATTCCATTGAAAGCTAAATGACCTAAGAAACTATTTTAAGACTTCTTTGCATTTTCATTTGGGTAGTTTCTACACATATAAGCCATTAATGGCAAGTTGTTTTTTCACTGTAGAAATTGAGGTGGTGGTCTGGCTATTAACTTGGTGACTTGACTAAAAGACAATCAAATCTAGAAAAGGAGGTTTTGGTTGGAGAAAGAAGTAGTGGATAAAATGAAAACTAGTTTCTTTTCACTGAACAAATTTATCAGATCATTACCCAAAGCTACACTTTACTTTCTGCAGTGTGAATACAGTCTAAATGATAGGATCAAGATTACATTCCCATAAGCAAGGGAATCTACTGAGGTGGAGATAGGAAAGAAAGAGCTCTGAGTCTTGGCTGGTGGAGCCTGGCCTGGGTATCCTGTCTCTGGTGAGCATTAAGGCATCACATGTGGAGTGATGAGGGTGTTTTATTTGTAGCCTGGCGAGCCATGTTCATCCTTGGCTAGGTTAATCCACAGAGCCAGGCACTAGATCTAGAATAGGCAGATTTAGTCAACTAAATCTTAGCTGTCAGGGAAAAGTTCACGAGAGGTGGCTTGTAACTTAATTTTTGATTTTCATGTAAAAATGCTGTGAATTGAGGCCTTTCATTGGGACTCGAGTAGTTTTATGCACATAGCTCTGTCCTTGGATGAAAGCTTCTGGTTTAAAAAAGCTAAGGTCAGCTGTTGCAGCTGAAGTCACCTAAGAATCTTCTGGGAACAATATCTAAGGGAAAAGCATCCATTCATTCATTTCTTGTTGTATCCTTAGTGACTCAGTCTCACTGCGAGATGCAGACTCCATGGTCTGGGATCCCGGAGTCCTGAAGTCAGGTTTCAACAAAATGATATCTGGAGAGTCCTTTCACCCTTGTGGGTGTAGTTATCAAGAGGGTACTTTCGTTTAGGTAAATGCTGTGTAAAGAACAGAAATAGAGAGCGGGGGGCGGAGAGGCACTAAATTCAGGAAGAGAATTTTGAGGTCCAGATGCAAATTGGCACCATTTCAAAAAAGTGTGAGGCCCGGTTCCAGCCACACAGTTCCATTACCTGAATTTTCATCTCCCAGTCACAGAAATGGCATTTCCACATCCCTGATGTTCTAAATATCATGAGAATCAAATGCAAGCCAAAAAAAATCCCCTCAGCTTGTGAAGATCATTCCATGACACACAGTAAATTCAGACAAAGGGAAAATTTTTCTCAATACCGATAAGAAAAGCACCTAGAAAGACATCACTTGAAGAATTACAGCTAGGTTGCTCAGGGACATTCAAGATGGTAGATTACAAAGAAAAATTATAGCTGGACTATAATGCATTACAAAATAAATGCACCTGGGTTAGAAACGAGGTCACAGCTGGGCAACATTGGTACTCATATATGAAGCAAAAAGCATTTTGAGGAGTGCAGGTCCTCATATTTTCCCTTCATTTAAAGTTCTGAACTGGAATAAACAACTGCTTTCTAGGTCTATATTCCATCTGATCAGAAATGTGCTAAGAAAATGTCAATAGAACATATCTGGTCAATCTAGTATATGGAACACAATGAATTTATAAAATAGCTTTACCAAATGGTTATAGTTGGTGATGAAGACCACATGCTTCCTGTTCCAAAGCAGTAACTCATAATCTAACAACATCACCACGTGAGTTTTAAAGAGAATTTCTGTACCATTTAAATTTCATAAATTGGGATCTTTTCCCAAAATGCCAGCAAAATAACTGATGGTATAGCTATGAAAACATTGTTTAGCTTCATTACATGTCTGTATAAAGGAATTTTCTTTGAATCACATTTCCAAATGTGAAATGGTCACATACATTGGTAATCCAGAACACAAGAAAATATATTTGAACTCTGTTGAATTATTTTAAGTAAAGATAAGTTCTAACCTGACCAAGTTCTTCATTAAGGTCTGATGTGTTAACTAGTGCTCCTTCATTAATTTCTTCATCATAAAAGTCCTTATCCCATGAAATGAAAAAGGAGCCCAAGAATTTCTGCATTTCCACGGTGACATACATGGATACAGGAATAATAAAGTTGAATAAAACCATAAATGATAGGAAATCGGTGAATATTTTCAGAACCTAAAACAAAAAAAAAATAGTTCATGCTAATTAGATGCACAGTTCATCCAACAGTGTAATATAAAAAAGTGGTTAACTTTTTATTTCAATGCTGAAAGCACTGTTCTTGCTATAAAGAAAAAATATCCCAAAGACACTATATCATTTGTCAAAATTATTATCATAGTATGTGAAAACACCCTCAATTTTGTCATTTTCTTCAGTGAATGTACCTTTAGACTCAATACTTTTTCACTCCCTTAAGTTCTCTGCTCCTCCCACCCTGAGATAGAAATGTAGGAGCCAAGTTTATATGTAGGCATTCATTATGCTCCTAGGGCGTGCTTTATCACAAGCTCATATTATATTATCACGCCAGGTTCTTATCCCTATTGCTGAAAACCCTTCACTAAAGAGCTAAAAACAAGCACAGAGGCCTAAAATAAAAACAATAACTCTAAAATGTAACTATTTAATGGCTTAGGGCTACCATACAACCAAGAGAAAACTAAGAAACTAACAAAGGCATATTATCTGAGCAGCATTTCAATAAAGGGTGGCATGGTCACAAAGTGCTAAAGTTAAAATTTTCACCATGTAACAAATTACCTTCCAAGTATCCCGCTCTTTCTGGGTCTTCTGGTTATACCAAGGTTCATCGTTATATGGGTTACTTTGCCAAAGATGCTTTAGAACAGTGCATACTGTAGCCTTGGTCAGTAAGATCAATAAATACACAATAAGGAAGGCATTAATAGATCTGAAAAATAAGATATTAAGGATTGAAAAATCATCTAATTACTTATCAAGCAGGTATAAATTAAACTTTTCAGTTTTATAAAGTTTGTCCTGTGTAGTGTGTAACCACAGCACAAGCCTGTATGTATGAACCTCAGTTATCACTGCTGAAGCATTATTCTCAAGAGGTAAAATGGTGAAGCAAGTCCTGACCTGTTTGATCACCAATGCTCCCTTAAAGTGCAATGGCTGACTAGCTTAACACACCTTAGGTAAGGCCCTATAAAGTGATAGCGCGCGCACACACCCCCATTACCTATCCAAGTTATAGAAGGAATAGGTTGTTTCAATTTCCCTGAATCCTAGAGGTTTGGAGTAGAGGGTGGGGAAGCAAATGTGAAATTCTTAAGCTTAGTGCAGATTCCTTTAGTCTGAAAGTAGAGCTATGGAGGTGTCACTGACGTACTGGATATCCATGCCAATGACAGTAAGGTCCATGTCAGTGGCAACGGGCTGGAAGGTCTACCCAGTACCACTGCAACATTTGCCTGGAGACTACGAAGTGTGATCAAACAATATGGTAAATGTTTGAATAAAAAAATTTATTACAGTAAAAGACACACTGCCATTAGTCCCCCTTCAAAATCCTCCCCTTCGCTTTGAACACACACCCCATCATTTTTGCCACTTTCTGAAGCAGTCCTGGAAGTCCTCTTTCGTGAGTGTCTTTACTTCATCCTCCAACATGACAACGCTCCGTGGCACACATCGCTTCTGTTATATGGCAATTTCTGTCAAATAAAAACATTATGGTGTGTCCTCATCCACCTTATTCACTAGATCTAGTACCATGTGACTTCTTGCTCTTCCCCAAAGTAAAGATGACCATGAAAAGAAAATATTTTGAATAGATTCAGGACATCAAGGAAGCCACGAGAGCACAACTAATGACACTCATGAAAGAGGACTTCCAGAACTGCTTCAGAAAGTGGCAAGAACGATGGGACAAGTGTGTTTAAAGCAAGGGGGATTAATGGCAATGTGTCTTTTACTGTGATCAATTTTTAAAAATTTAAACATTCACTTTATAGTTTGGATCTATAACCTATGTTATAAAACTTCCTTACATAGAGCAACTATAGGACCCCAAACCATGATTCAGAAGCAAAGGAGAATAAAAATTTGTATTTCAACTAAACTCTGCCCTTGGATAGCTATGTGAACTGCGGTAAGTCCCTTATCTCTGAGACCGATTCTTCATATGTAAAGTGGATAGGCTCATAGGAATTATTCCACAGGATTAAAGCAAATCAGAAACACAAATCGCTAAGCACAGTTTCTGGAATACAAAAAGTGCTCAAAATGGTGGCTGCTATTATAACTGATTCTTTAAATTACGGTTGTTATTCAGAATGACTGAGAAGTAACTACTTCAGTTCAATAGCAACTAGAGAAATTGTGGTGCACACTAACTTTTCAACAGCAGAGCGTTTTTGAGATTTCCCCTGGTAGTTCAAAGCCATTTTGGTTTCCATCCCAGTGTAAACAGCAACTCCTGAGGGATAACATAATAAAATGAAAACTAGGTTACAACCAACTCCCTACCTCGTTGATCTATTGATTATTTTCAGTTTATAAAAGTAGGAATTTTAAACCCTCTTCTATTCACCCATTGATATTATTGTTTATACTATAATTTTAATTTGACATAATTTATTTGTCATATTTCTGATTTACCATCTTATAAATTCCCAACACCTAAAAATAAGCTTAGATTAAATGGCAATTATCTGCCATGTTCAATTTTTAACATGTGCTATTTATGCCCAGGCTCTTTAAAGCATATTTCCAAAAAGTATATCTTAAAAATTGTTCACCATATATCTTCTGGGTATGTTTTAGTGTAGCTCCTTTCAACAAGAGATTCTCAGGTCCCAAAGACCTTGGGCCAGTGAAGCAACGTCCTCCACAACTAGATTGAAGAACAAAACGACAGAAACTTGTCTGTTCCCCTTCCCCCAATTCCCCAGCACTGTTCCCATCCCCCCAATTCCCCAATAAAAAAAATCTTTAAAAAAAATGAACACAGCTTATGCAAACAGCCCAATAAATAGCATCATCAACTTTGGAGACATATTTTGCCCTAATATACATCTCTAGGGTTCAGAATATATCTGTCTACTTTTATCACACACTTACGCCCCAGGGAGAGCTGAAAGATCCTTCCTTCTTAAGTTACTTGAGGGAACAGCACAGATGGAAGCACAGTACAGGAGTAGCCAGCAACACACAGAGGTAAAGGGATGCACAGAGAGAACAAAAGGTTATGAGCCATAGACAGCAAGACAAGAACAGGACAAAGCAGCAGACAACAAGACACAAAGATAAATGACTGGGAAAGCAAACATCAAGATGGGAAAGACACACTGACATACATACACACATACATACACACACACACACACACACACACACACACACACACACACACACACATATATATATATATATATAGAGAGAGAGAGAGAGAGAGAGAGAGGGAGGAGGGTAAACCCGCCTTTTGGGAGATCACTGGGCAACCGGGTGTTTCTTTTCCTTCTTTTTGAGTATGTTATAAAGGCAAAGCGGAAAAGTTGAGGTAATTAATTGGATGATAGAAGAGGGAAGAAAATATCCCTTTTTTATATGAATTGCTTCATTATAAATGATTAGCCTTTCATTTTACTTAAAAGTCCAGGTAATTCTCCCAGCATTTTATCTACTGCCTACATCCTCAATGCGTCTCCCTTAAACCACTGTTCTCCAGGTGTACTTCCAATATTGTCAGCCACTGCACAACCAAGGACAATCAATACAGTGCCTGGAACAGATTTGGGAATATCAGTCATAGAGTGTCTCGAGCGCTCTGCAACTTTGGAAATCCTCAGCATCATTTTCAACACCACCCCCTTCCCGGGACACACATACTCAGAGCCCGTGTCACCACAACCCTAAAATTACAGGGCTGGTTACTTAAGACCCATTAGTGGGATACTGGCTGATTACTCCAGATTAATTCACCCTCACATCTCTTCCTATAAAAAAAAGTATTTGGCTATTTCAATGGGCTTAAAAGAGAAATAATTCCCTCGGAGGACAGATTAAAGAAATACCAAACTAACCTGGCAACATCCTCAGGACAATTTTTATGGATATCGATTCGCCCAACAAACCTGCAGAAAGAACATAATAGCAAATAAGTTTTCCATAGCCACGTAAAACCTATATACCACAAATATGGGAATGAATAAAAATACAAAAATGCAAAAGAGGTAAGGCTGTGAACTATGAATGTATTATATTTCTGAAAAAAAAACTATGAGAAAATGGTAAGGTGTGTAACATATTCATCTAATTCTTAAAATAATTTTCTAAATTGATTTTCAAGATCTACTTGGCACTGTGAATGCACATAACACCCCTCTCGTTTATACTTTATATAAATAATTGGCTATTTTAGATTCATGTGAAGAAACGTTTTTGGTGCTAACATAACCTTCAAAACCATTAGTTCAGTACTTTCGTTTGAACATGCATCAGAATCACTGGAGGGCTTATTAAACTTCAGATTTCTGGGTCCCATCTCCAAGCTTATGACTCAGGTGAGAATTTGCATTCCCATCCTGTTCTCAGGTGATGCTGATGCTGCAGGCTCAGATAACCCTTTCAGAACCATGGCATTAGTCTTAGACAATGGACACTTGATTACCATCTTGGAAATTTCCAAACTGTGTCTTGCAGCTGACCTCATTACTGCACTTATCAATCCAATCGCTTAATATGGCTAGGCACATGGTAATCTGCATTTGTGAAAAATGGGGTAAAAAGGCCTAACCCCTCCTTAAGAGTGCTATGAGTATTTTATAATTTGCATTATAATTTTTTTCAGAAAAATGGAACTTATAATTATTATATGCCAAAATATGAAGGCCTGCTAATTCAATCATATATTAATTAAGCACGTACTGTGCTAGGTGCTGGAGATACACCAATAAGGAAGAAAGGTGTGTTCCTTGCCCTAAGACAGATAATTAAGCAGGCAATTACAATGTAAGTGATTACCAGTCGGGTGGTGGAAATACAAGGTATTCTGAAGTCACATAGCAAGGGTACTCAATCTAGTCTAGAGAAATTAAGAATAACCTCCCCTAACCCTAAAATTCTCCTTCATATTTAACGTAACTGAAAAATTTGGGAGTTTCCTTATAAGTATGCAAGAATATACAGAGGGTGCCAAAAAATGTATACACATTTTAAGCAAGGAAATAACTGTATTAAAATTGTAATACTCAATATATACGGATAATAAAAGATGACTACGAGTCACGTGTATACATTTTATTGTCATCCCCGGTACATTACTCTCTGAGTCAGGCAGAATTAGTCATTCCCTTTTCTGTGGTTCCATGGGCCTTTCATTCACCTCTACTATTTCACTGCACTGTAAGCCTAGCTTTACTGTTTTATCTCCTTCGCAAACCATGAGTTCCCTGAAGGCAGGGAACAGCTTTGCTTTGTGGTCCCAGTTCCTAGTAACAAGGTGGATACAGAAGAAGGGAAAGAGGAAAGAAGGAATGATGTGAAGGAGAGAAGGCACTGTTCTTGTAATAGGATGAATACTTTGTTTCTCTACCACTGGGTGTTGGTGTAAGCCACATCCAACCATCTGACCCATGATGACCAACAGCATTCATTAATAAGATGGCTGCAATAGGTAATGGATGCCAAGTGTAATGGTGCGATAGAATGTAATTAATTGGTCCATTGGGGGAGAAAACCCGTTACTGTCCCCTTGCTAATTCCATGCTCTAATCAACCAAACTGACCATTCTTAAAAAACAAATGCCCAATTTCTGACAACTCACAATGACTGTTAATCAGCAAACCTCCTCCAGACAGCCTAAGTACAGTAAAATAGAGGACACTATACCATTTCTCTGCTCCTCAACTGTTTACTATGGACAAAACACAGGCTATTCGCAATACTCAGTTCATCATGATCATAATAAAAAAGGATAGAGTGCCTACTAATTGAATGGTCCCATATCCCCTTCCTCTCTGATGTTGGATGACACACAAAGTGGTTTATTTTTGTTTTCATTAACTCCGGTTAATGCATGAGTTTGATAAATCAACCTTACAGGACATCATCTTCAAATCTGATGGATAGCCATGTTTACAAATAACAAAAATAAGAGAAAAATCACACGTAAGATGCCAGGGCTCACAATGATTTATCTTGGGCTGGTAGTGAACAAGGCTGATTTGATTCATTTCCCTGTCAGAAGGAAGAACAGCTCATAAAAACACAAATGAAAAGAGGCTGGCAAGTGGTGTGTCTTTGCAATACTGGTGGCAAGATAGGCAGAGCCAACAGAGAGCAGGAAAATGAAACCAGGGGATGCATACTTGTAGAGGTCAGGTTGAGGCTGTTCACATTCAATTGTCGCTTTGAGGTTATAAACATGTCTTTCCAAATCTCCTTCAGTGGTATCATTACATACTGCATAATGTGTCTAGATGAAAGCAGAAGAAAAAGCAAAACCAAATAAGTGCTTCTTTTCATAACCATACATCCACCTGATTCCAGACACACAGTATGTTTCAGTAAGAGGCTTTGGCAGAATAATGCAAATATTAATGCAAACTAAACCAAATTCTTAAAATATATTTCAAATTAGAAACATAACCCTGCTGCAAGGGGATTCCAAAGATAATGAAAAAACCAAAAGCTTCTTTTGATACTGATAGCAGAGAGAATCCCATTTGCAGCATGCATATAATTAACCAAAAACCCCATAAAATTTTAATCCATTTATTTTTACTGAGACCTATTATTTTGCTCACCATAGTGTAAGGTGATGTAAATACACATGTATGAATGAACATAAAGCTTTTGGTCATAAGAATGCTAACATCTTGCGAACAGGAAGAAAAAAATGATTAACAGCTCCATAACACAAATAGCATAATTAATGATCTTGAAAATGCTCAAAGCTGCTACATACATTTCATGAGGAGCAGGGAGATGATGTATCTTGCTGTAGTCAGACAGAATATTCTACTAGTGCATATTATGCAATTGATTCACCCAGAACTCACGGCAGGCTCCAGTGAACCCATTTATAAATCATCAAAGAAAGGCTGACGCAGACTCAAGGACTGCACCATGCACCACTTACACAGAAGAGAAAGCTGTTGCATGGTCTTCGGGGAATATTATGGAACTGCCTGAGCTATATTTAAAACGATCTCCTGACTTTGAAAACCTATGTACTTTTAGCTGATATGACTGGATCAACTTAACAACTTTTTCCCCTGTTAGAGAATCTTTGGGTACATTTCTTGATTTTTATCTTGACACTCCCTCAAAAATAACTTTGTTTTTGAACAGGTTAAATGACACTGGTGCATCACTATGCCCCTGAAGTACAGAATACAGTCACGTAAGGGATTTAAGTTCCTTCTTCACATACTGAGTCCTGGTCCTCAACTCCAGGTGGAATAACAAGCATAGAGAAGCCGTCAAATATACCGACAGAGGTGAGCACATCAGTACCCTTCCTTAAAGACAGCATGTAGAGGATACATCTTCCTGCCCTGTGTAGCTCTGGACAACAGGCAAGAACTGACTGTGTCAGAAAGTACCAGGGAAGTAAGCTAGCCTACAGTGTGAGCAAATTTACTTTAATGCATGTGTAATTCTTCCTACTTGCAATAAGACCAACATTTGCCAAACTACACCCTAAGGTATTTTTTAAAATGCGATCAAATTACTCCAGGTTAGATTTTCTATGTGCCAGGAATAAACATTTTTGAAGAAAATATTCATTGCTTTTAAAATAAAAACAGATCTGGGTCAGCCTAGTGGCGTGTTGGTTAAGAGCTGGCTTGGGACATCAGAGGGCCCCGGTTCGGATGCCACATATGAGGGCCAGTGACACTGCCCTCTACAGCTAAGATGCTGAACAACAGCTCAACCTGGAGCTGGGCTGCAGTGAGTCGCCGGTGACGGCGTAGGCTGTTTAAATAAAATAAAATAAAAACAGATCAAACTGTACTTGAAATTATTTTTATAGTTCTATAGTTTCATTCAGCCTATGATTACCCTCACCTTTAAAAGCCTAAATAAAATATTGAGTATGTTATGCCAATATGAAATGCAAGCAGGGCTATAAAAAAATGTGGTGGCTTTTATTTGGGGCCTGGATTTTCCTCACTCAACACCACCCTTTTCCTCAAAGTTGAGAATTTGCTTAGAAGTTCAAAGACAATTATACAAAAGCTGTCTTCAAATACAAAACTTACACAAATAGGAAAAAATAAGATAAAAGATTAGGAGGCAGTGGGAAGGAGTATTTTATGATTAACTATCCTGAGCTCAAAATGTTTACACAAGCTTTTGTCTTCATTACCTTGCAATTGGATTCCCCATCAAGACTGGCTGTAGTAACGTAACAGATTCCATCACTCATGCAGGATGCCAGAAGAATAAGATCACAGGGAAAGGTTTCATTCGCATGCACTTCTACTATATCACCGACCTAGTATGGAGAGAAAAATATAAATATTCTTAATTCCAAACAAAGCATTCATTATATCTGAAACAAAAGTGAAAACAGTAGCAAGAGACCTCTCCTGCTCCGGAGCTCAGAGAGTGTCTCAGCACCCTATATCACGTCAAAGGTGATGAAAGAATAGTACTCAACATTCAGAATCCTTTTTAAGATCCCAAGAACTTGTGATGCTTTCAGATTCCCTTAGTATTGAAGGTCAATCTCTAATTAATGATTTCAGCACCCAGGGACCGGTTTGCTCTCTGATGTTTCTGGCACTGATATTTGATAAGACAATGATCATTATCACTTCATGAATGCAACAATAGAAGTTACAAGTCTCAACTTGAGCACTTCATGAACACTGGGCACCACCACTCCTACTCTGCATCATGCATATTTCAATATGCTTCATTCTCAATGTGATAACAGCTATTATTGGTGTGTGCCAATCCCTTCTTCAGTGATCAGAAAACAGTAATTAGAGGCACCCATTTTCCCCATAACATTTGAAAAAAATCCACATAGGTAATTTTCCAACAATTCATCTGCTATCAGAAGAATCAATTGAAACAATAAAGAGAAACAATTTCCTATGAGCAAATACCCAAAGCTCAAGTAGAGGAAAAACATGAGAGAAGAAATCATGAACTATTTCTATCACAGATAATTTAGTAATGTAGGGAACAAGTCATAATGGTTAAGAGGTAGGGCTTTTTAACCTGACTTTATGTCCCAGCTCTGCCACTTAACTGTATGACCTTGTGTAGTAAATGCCTTAGATGATTGCAACTACCTCAAAGGACTGATCTGAGCACAGAATGAGGACACAGGTGGTATTTACCAAGTCCTGGAATAGTTGCTATTTGATAGGTATTAATTATAATTATTACTGATACTCTCAACTTTTTTTGTTGGAAGAATGTAAGAAATCATCCAGTCCGGTGCTTCCCAACATTTTTCACACCATGGCACATGGAGAAAACACTTTTGTACAGCACCCTTAGATATCGGGATGAAGGAGGCTGCTGGTGGCAGAAGACAACCCACTTTAAGAGATAGTCAATATCTGGCACACCAACCTAAGACACACTGGTTGTGAAACGTTGAACTAATAAATAACACTCCTGCCTTCTAGTTGCTACAGTTTGGCAGATAAATATGAGGATTTTAAGATCTATTTGGGAACAATTTTATTTTCTTTGCCACTCTTCACTAGTAGCCAAGAATGGCATCATTAATTGAACTAATTTGTAAATAGTATTTTATTTTGTTGGATCTTTCCTTTCTGACTTACATAAACTTATGTTGCTTACATAAAACCATAACTGATGCTTAAATACACAAAAATAAAAATAAAAACTGAAATCCTAAAGCATGTTAGAAGAAGCAAACACTCATTCATTTTTTTTTTAAGATTTTATTGGGGGACTGGGGGAGGGGAACAGCGTTGGGGAATCAGGGAAGGGGAACCGACAAGTTGCTGTCCTTTTGTTCTTCCGTCTAGTTGTGGAGGATGTCGCTTCACTGGCCCATGTTGGTATTATCATTGCGCTCTTCCCTGGTGAGTCAGTCGCTCGCCGGCCATTGGACAGCTGCTCACGGTGGCTCATGAAAGCTCATGCCAGCGGCTGGCCAGCCCCACTGCAGCCTATGCCATCACCAACGACTCATGGCAGCCCAGCCCCAGGTAGAGCTGTTGTTCACCATCTGAGCTGTAGAGGGCACAGCGTCACTGGCCCTCATGTGGGATCCAAACTGGGGCCCTGCTGCTCAGAGCTGGAATCCCAAGCCAACTCCTAACCAACACGCCACTCGGCCAGCCCAACACTCATTCTTTAACACTTAGTCTCAGGCACTGAAAATTATAGACCACAAAAAGAGAACTTCTACGATATTTACGATTTGCTCAGATATGAACTATATAAAGGTGCCTGCATCTGGAGTGCAAGTTGAGGCTGGTGAGATGGACATGGCCAGTTCACAAAGGTCCCAGCAGGCCAGGCTTAGGGGTTTAGGCCTTACCCTAAAGGAAAAGAAAACTGGGAAAGGACTTTTAAAGAAAGGGAACAACACGGTTCAGTTAGAGAACCAACTCTAGAGTTTTGTTTCCATTTAGCACGTCAAAAGTCATAAGAGTAGCTGAATGCCTCAACATAAATATTACAAAAAGCTAGAAAATCTACAAAATCATAATTTTTTAGTTTATCAGAGAGCTGAGGTTGCAAGGCAACCAAGTGAACTGAATTTCAAAGGCTCAACAGTCTCTCTGAGTAAAGAAAATCGTTTCACAATTGACACAGCACAGGAGGACAGGATGGATACCATAAACATGCATGAGAAAACTAGATTTTGGGGGAACTGTTGGCGTGGTGGTCGCCAGTGTTGTGCCGAACCTGGATGGTTTGAGCGTGAGTATGGCCGAAGGGGACACCCTGATATCAGTGGATTACGAAATTTTGGGGAAGGTGCAAGGGGTGTTTTCTGCAAGTACACTCAGGCTGAGGGTAAAAAGCTGGGATTGAAGCTGGGTCCAGAACACTGACCAGGGCACAGCGCAGGGACACCTGCAAGGTCCCATCTCCAAAGTGCACCATATGCAGAAATGGCTGGAGACAAGAGGGAGACCAAATCACACAATGACAGCGCAAACTCCAACAATGAGACAGTCATCTTAAAGTTGGATTACTCACATTTCCAAATTGTGAAAAAATGGCCTGAATTTCAATTTTCCAAGATAAACTCAGTGGTTTGTTTTTTTATTGTTAATAGAGATAGAATTATTCTGTGTTCAATATTAGAATTTGTCAGTAAGTTATTTTACTATCATATACTTGAATATTACTGTATATTACATGTATGACAGAAAGGATTACAACTCTACACAATTCTAATTAATAAAAACACATCAGAACCTTCAAAAAAGAAAACTAGATTTTTTAAAACTAAACTTATTGGGGTAACAATGGTTAGTAAAACTACATAGGTTTCAGGTGTATAATTCTATATATTGCATTGTGTGCTCACCACCCAAAGTCAGTTCTCCTTCCATCACCATATATTTGACCCCATTTACCCTCTTCTACCATTTTCAAACAATTCTAAAAGGCATGGCAGGAGGTAACATGACAGACAGTTTAGAATTTCTGCAAGCCTGAGAGAAAAGAGACCATAACCACTCATCAGTCTTGTCTACAGGCATCCACTGGGTGCTCAAGAGACAGCATGAGGGCAGGAGATCTAAAAGGGCCTTCCTCACTGGTACAGGCATACAGGTCATGATTGACTGCTGTGGGGAGACCAATGCAAAATATGCCAGAATCGGGGACCCTTTTCTCATTACAGGCAAAAGCTATCTGTGTCTAGGAGAAAGGCAAGAAACCTTCTTTGGCACAGTTTCAGGGAAATGTCACTACTGCTAGAGGAGAGGTGGAAGGAAAAGCCATCTGCTGCTGGGGACGGGACAGGAAACCCACTCATATTGAGGACCTAGCTCTGATAAAAAGGCAAAGCTGCCATGGGAGGTAGTGTGGGAGTACTGAGAAAGTGCCACCCTGAGGTAAAGGTGCATAAGGCCTAACTAATATTGAGCCTGGAGCACGAGAACCAAGAAACCACTCTGTTCCAGCCAGGAGTCTTGCAATGAATAACAACAAAAAATAGCAATCTACCACTGGGGGAGGATAAAGGGCAGAGAGAGAGAGGCATGCTTTATGTCTCAGGGATGTAGGACCTGCTGAAAGCAGGGGGTGGAACAGGAACACTGAGAAAACCCTTTGGTACCCCAGGCCTCACACAAAGCACAAGGCAATGGCAGGCTCTCATTCCAAGAATTTGAAGTCAAGTGGTGTACTGAAAAATCAATAGCTACAAGAAAAACCAAAGCCAGTCCAACTCCTGACTAGACTGATGCAACCCCCAACACTAATGGGCTGACAGAAGAGGCCCGCCCATTTCAGAATATAAATATTGTTTACCTAGGTCTCTAGCATTCTTTTACATACAATATCCAAAATTCAACTTTAAAAAATGAGACACAAAATACAACACAAAAATGATTTATCATCAAGAGACAAAAGGAATCAACAAGACCCAGAAATGTTCAGATTTTGAGATTATAAAACAGGGATGTAAATACAGCTATGATTAAGATATTATTTAGTGGAAAAGGTAGACAATATACATGTGCAGATGAGGAATTTGGGCAGAGAGATGAAAGCTACAAAAAATACAGCAAACGGGAAGGTTAGAAATGAAAAACATCATAGATATAGGTTTCCTTTAATGGGTTTATCAGCAGCCTGGATACAACAAAGGAAATAACATATTTCCCCATGTATAAGACGCACCCTTTTCCAAAAAAATTTGGGGTCTAAAAACTGGGTGTAGTGGTTGTAGATTTTTTTACTTGCATTTCCCGCTTTTTCGCACTTGTTGTCTTTGCGCTCAGTGTTTCGCACTTGTTACCAGTATATTACGGTAGGTTACGTTTTGCCACGTTCTGCCCAGAAACGGCTCAGAAAAGATTTTCGTACAGTGCTGAATTCAAGTTAAAAGTGATCCGGTTTGCAAAAGTGAATGGAAATTGTGCTGCTGAACGTAAGTTTGGTCCTCCTCCAACTGAGAAAACAATCCGAGACTGACTACGGGAAGAAGAAACCCTACTGAAAACGCCATGACAGAAGAAGGCCATGAGAGGCAATATATGAAGACAGTGATTTGTCATCAGACACAGAGGAGGACAAGCCAATGGTTGGGAGTTTTGACAGTGATGAGGAGGTGTATGAATTTTATGATGAATAAAACTTGAGTTCAATAACTTTATGTAATAAATTTTTTTTCAAAATTCGGGCCCCAAAATTAAGGTGTGTCTTATACATGGGGAAATACGGTAATCAGGAATTCTAAAGAAACGCTTCCAATATTTCTAATGCTAAAGCTCATACTCTTTCCCTTACAAATAACTCTGCTTTACATTGGAATTCCAC